AAATCCCCAACTGGGTCACAACGTCTGAGTACTATTTGTTTGAGCACCCTTTGCTGGGGCTCATGTACAGCTACAAACAGAACTACATTGGCTAATATGTCACATGACATGGCAAATAAAAGGCATGGGATTTGTGGAGGTGGCTTAGTGGTAGTGTGCTTTGCTAGTATGTACAATGTCCTGCATTCAGTCTTACCACAAAACCGATGTAAACTACAAAGGAAAAAAAAAAAAAACCACTATCAAAAGTAAGTTCATGCACACATCAATTATATAAAACCACAGAAAGTCTTGCAGTATCTAAAAACTGTCTCTATCCAACCTCAAAAAGCTTAGCTGTAACAGGGTATATTCTAGGCTCACTTTTGGCCCGGTGACTTGGACAGGAAAGGCAAGCCCAGCAAGGAAGAAGTACAACAAAATTTTGTTCTATCTTTCCAACCAGCATTCTTTATATTCCTCTATAAAATCACATTTCAAGGTTACTATGGACTGGGTGCTGGCAGGGAAGGAGGCAAGAATTTAACAAAAAACAAGGGGCCTGCCCTGGCGTAATCAGGGTTCTATAGTGCACTGCTCAACAAAGTCCATAGGCCAGCAGTTCCCAACCTTACTCACGCTGCAGCCCTTTAATACACTCCCTCATGTTGTGGTGACCCCACCCCTACTATAAAATTACTTCCATTACTACTTTGTAACTCATTTTGCTACTGATAGGAATCGTAATGAAAATATCTGTTTTTCAAAAGTCTTAGGTGACCCCTGTGAAAGGGTCATTCAATCCTAAGGGGGGGGTCTCAATTTATAGGTTGAGAACCACTGCCCTAGGCTCAACACCAAGAACACCCAGACTCTAACCACCCTCCCCCAAGGCAAGCACACACTACAGAGCAGGTATAGAGTCAGTCTGAAGAACAGGAAGAGACTTGCTTCCTCACTCACGGTTTTAAAGCCAATCAACCATCAGCATGGAGGCATGTATGAGGACCCAGGCAGGCTGTAGAGACACGTGTATACAGAGGTGCATTAACAGACTACACAGAATGACAGTGAAACTAAAGGGGGGAGGGGAAAGCAGCTATAGCTTAAAGAAACGAGGTCAGGTTTAATGAGAAGCAAGGTAGGCTTTCCCTCTCCTGTTAGCCTGCTTGGCTTGCTTGCTTGCTTTTCCTGAGAACCTGTTCTCACAGGCACACTTTGTTCAATGGGATGCATAAGGAATTATGCATCAGGACATAAGAAGTAACCCATCAGGCAGGTTTCTCCCTTGCTTGGAAACAGAAATCATTACTTTCTGCAGAAGCACCTGCGGGCCCAAATTACTTCATTCTCTGCAGGAGGAAAAGGGTTAAGTAGAAGCAGCATCCCTGTGCACAGCAGGGCAGCCGGGCAGCCTGGGCTCACACCTGTCCTCATCTCTCCTCTCCTCCCAGCTCCTTCACTCATTCCTTCCCCTCATTTCCTTCTTTCTTTCTTTGTAATTCCCAGGCTGGGAATGCCCAGTGATGTCTGTCCTATTTCTGGGCAGATGAAAGGTAGAGGCTGCAGAAACTGCTGGATTTTTCTATAACATTTCTGAATGTTTCAAGTCAGAACCTGAACCGTGAAAAAGAAAAGAAAAATCTTTGAAAACAGCTTCAGTCACTTCCCACAATCACAAACAAATATCCAACGGCTACCCTCAGCTTTTTTTCCTCTCTCTCTAAAAGAATGAAGAAGGATGAGAAAAAGAAAAAAAAAGTGTTAAAAATTATATTTCAGTGGATCTCCCTGCAGCTTCAGGGGTTGCACTATTACAGATTTCCTAAACAGAAGGGTGTTTGTTTACCATAGATTAATGAGGATTTCAAAGCTGCCTGCAAAGGAAGACCTGGGTGCTTAAAGGTTTGCCTATTCCCTACAAGCATTCTCCATTCTTCTTTGATAAAAGTGTAAAAACTAAAACTGCTCATTCATTCATTCATTCATTCATTCATTCACTAATTCTCTCACTTATTCTACACAAATCACAGGGTGACTCCTGTATCTGGTGTCACTAGACAGGAAAGATATGCAGAATCGTGAAATCACCTCAGGGATTGTATGAGGATCAAGTTATTTAGAGATGCTGTTGAGTAGGCTGCCTTTATGCATCTCTAAAATTACTATTTTTTAAACTCGGCTTGACTTGGTGATAAAATACTGCATGGATTGTTGAAGCATTTCTGTTCTTTATTCAAGGAGCAACAGAAATAAAAGCTTTTCTCAGAGCTTTGGCAAGCTCTTTTCTATTAAATGCAGCCAACTTCTTCCATTTCAATGTTAACACCGCTGGGTGATCAAGCCAATGTGTCCCTCGTGATCACCGTGATCACCGGAGCCTGCTCTGCAGGGACTTGTACACTCTTTCCACAAGTAAGTACCTGCTGTGAGAAAGGTGTGAGATATCCCTTGTCTGGTTGTTCTTCCAGCCTCTGGTGGGTGTAGGATGAATGAATGAATGAATGAATGAATGAATGTCAGAACAGCTCATCCAGGCTTCCAGAGATTTTCACTTCTTTCTTTCCATGTGCCCTTTCCCCCTCAGTGGCAACAGGGCCATGTGTAGGGGCTACCATCTGGCAACATGGGCCCCATATGGCTCCATCTCACGAAGAGAGACTCTCAACAACATAAAAATGCTGCTGTATACTTTTATTGCGGCCCCTTCTCTCATTCCCTCCATCTGTCTTCCATATGGCGTCTGTACCTCTATTAGGCTCTCATACGTGAGTCTCTGCCAACCTGACCTAGGTGTCACTCACCTCTGTCAGGGACAAGGGACTACCATTGCTATAAAAATCCAACCCTTTTGGTATTTCAAACTAGAACAAACCATAACCACTTCTCTTCGATTTGAATGCAGGTATTTTATATTTATGTCTTTAAGACTTATCAACAAAAAAACACATGGCAGTTCTCTCCCTGAAGTTTCAAGGAGAGCCATATCATTTCCCCATAAGGAATCTCTCCTATATACACATGAATCACTTTCTTCAAAGTTGGCCTTTTCGTTTTCACAAATTTCTCCTTTGATAATAGGAAAAGTTATTCCTGTAAATGTTTTTCAAATGTCTTTACAAAAACTTGGAAGAAGCACGTGCGTCCATGCGTCTCTTCACTGAGACTGAATAAAGGAGCAAGAAATCAGGTGAGGCTGACTCAGACAAGGCCCTTCCTGAACCACCTAAGTTAGGGCCCTAGGGTCTATCCTATGAGTTCTGATCCTCTTTGTTTTCGTGTGTTTGCCTGAAGTGGCATATGTAGTCCTATATGGTCAGTATAACTGAGAAGAAAACAGAAATAAATGTCACTAGATAACACGCATATTCCATTACAAACAGGAGGCAATCCTGGCATTAGAGACATGAAGGTGACAGGTCATTTCCAGTGTCAATTATTGAGTCTGTTAGTGAGTCCATGGGCCATCTCTCTCAAAAGTAAGGAGAACAGGCTGCAGGAGTAAATCAGTAAAAGAGCACTTCCTAGCTTGCCAGAGGGGGCCCTGGGTTTGATCCAAAGAAGCACAAGATATTAAAAGAAAGAAATATGCAGACTGAGTGACTTTATGGGGGGAGAAGAAATGATTTCTGTACTTATGATATTAAGAAGCAGAATTCATTCCACCCTCCATGGCTGCACCCTGCCCCTTGAGTCCTGCCCTTTCTGTGACAGGCAACTTGCCAGTATTCTCTTCTTAACAACCTCTGGCTAACAGCACATGGGGAACTCATCTCATGGTTTCATCTGTAGGCAGAGCATTGGAATGTTGCTCAAACCTACAAAGTGTGAATTTTCAGACATGCTCAATAACCCACTGAGTGCCACTAGGATACTTTTATTTTATTGAGAATGGCTTTTTTCGTGTGCAGAAGCAATAACTTATTCTTTCCCAATTGTATGAAAAACAAATATTTGACTTTTAAATTAAACCACCTTATTGTAAGATACATGGTTGGGTCATGCAGCTTTTTTTTTTTTTAAACCTATTTGCCTGTTTCACATATCATTGCTTCGCTTACTGCCCCTTCACCACTCATAGGCAGATAGAAGTACTGGGACACTAGGGAACCTGCTCCTGGGCTGGCTTTTCAGTCTCTCCTGGGTGTAAAACCCAAGCAGTTACTCTGCAGGAGTACAACCTACAGCTGCCTTTCTGGATGCAATCAATACACCGCACACTGTCGGGGGTCACAGGTGCCTTTGTACTGCACCAGCATAGGATCAAGTTGCAAACTTCAGGCTACTGCAGGAAGCCTGTTCACTGTGTTAACTGCTCTAGGCTGAAACAGATTACCAAAACTGGTTAAGAGAAGCAAGCACTCCCTGGTCTGCTAGAAGACAGTCTATCCAAAACAGTAACATTGTTTCCAAACCCCAGCACAAAGCTAAAAGCAAAAAAGCCTTTGGGTTTCAGCTGAATGAAATGACAAGACATTTGAGCAATGTCTGTGTCACACGGGGCACTCCCACCCTTACTCTGGGCAAGCAGTTTGTAACCACTTGGGAAGGAGCAGAAGTTGTGGTGGCAGCTGAGGGGCAGCAGAAATGGTTTACAGTTGGGCAGGGAGGGAAATGCACTCACTCTGCATTTCCTACGGACCAAGCGAAAGCCTGTTGGCGGCCCCCTCCTCCCCTGAGCTGCTTTTCGTAGCACAGGGGCTACTGAATACTGGCTTCTTGCCAAGTGGCTTTAAAAATGACCAACCACACGCGCCTGCCTTCACCTCATTTTCTTCCCATAAGCCACTTCCCAGGCGGCTGCTCTAGAACTCCATGTGTCCATTTACTGGATTGAAACAAACAGACCACGCGCAGGGAGAGCCACACAAAGCATATGCTTTTCCAGCCCATCCTGATTTCCCAAACAGTGGGAGCCTCACCCCTGGGGATGCTGACGGGACATCAACTGCTGCTGCTTTGGAGGCAGGAGACCCCACACATACACTCCCCAGCTTCCCGCTCCCCCAACCCCGGCTTACCTGTTTCTTTGTGCTGGACCTCTGCCAGGTGCAAGTCATTCAAAAGGTGCTCCAAGATCTTCTCCGGGGTCCCAGACACCACCACGTATCTGTCAGAGAGCAGAGAGTCTACAGAGTCATCCTCAGTGGAAGACTGTGAGCGGCTGCTCCATTCATCATCCTCATCTTCTTCGTCGATGTATTTGAAATAAGGCACATCGAAGGTAGGCAAGGGCAGCTGGCGCCCCGGGAGCGCCTCGGAATCTTTCCTCTCCAGATGGGGGTCAAAGACCCGCAGGCGGGAGCTGCCCATTGTGAACGGTGCCTAACAAAGGCATCCCCTAAAGGCTAAAAGATCTTGCCATCCCTGTCCTTTCACTGTGAGCTGAGTCCATCTGGCTGCTAAGAGCTCTGCAGTCAGCTAGAACGCTGGAGAGGCGGAGAGAAAGAGGGAGGGAGGGAGGGAGAGAGAGAGGGTAGGGCAGGCAGCAGCAGAGCGAGTGAGTGAGAGGGAGCAGGGAAGGGAAACAGCAGAAGGGAAGGAAACCCAGAGTGTGCGTGCCTGGGCTGCGGGGACTCTCACCTCGCTTGGCTCTCCGCAGCACTCGTGGGGGCTGGGCCACAGCTCGCTGCTACTTTCTTCAGCACCAGCACACTCAGGCCTTGCTCTTTAACCTGAACCATCGTCACTTCATCATCTTGCTTTAATTGTAGATCAGAGTGATGGATGAGAGAAGGGAAGGGGAAGAGAAAATTAAAAAAAAAGAAGCCAACTAGCCTCACCTCATTTCTTCAAAGAGCCGGAAGGAATTAGGCGCCTGGTCAGGCATTAATAGTACCTACAGAATCTAGGCTCAAGGTTTCTGGAAACACAAAAAGCCTGTGTGTGTGTGTGTGTGTGTGTGTGTGTGTGTGTGTGTGTAATGAGGATTCCAAGAGTTTATTTTTACAACTACCTTTTTACAACTACCTTTAGGGACAATGTGATTTAGAGAATAGAAAGTTTAAAGTTTCAAATGCACAGCATGCTAACTGCAGTCTTCTACCTGGCTAATGTTGCTTCAGCATTATTAAAATCAGAAAATCACAGCATAACTACTATTAAACACTAAGGTAGTAATGGGTCAAGACTTGCTTTAAAAGGTGAGCAAATGGCTACCCATTGGATCACTCAGGTCAAACCCTGCCATTCTTCACACACACACACACACACACACACAGAAGAGAGAGAGAGAGAGAGAGAGAGAGAGAGAGAGAGAGAGAGACTTAACCGTGCTTTTAAATTTATTAGGCTCTTATTTTATCTGAGTTCAAGCCAAGATAGATGTGTAGTTAGAATGTCTGCTAAGCTAAAACCCCAATGCCAGGGGCCCCTGCACTGACTTCCTTCATCTCTGTCCCTTTTTAAAAAGGCGAGAAGCTTAACCATCATTCATTTCTGCACACACAGCTCCCACAGTGCAGAGCGCCAGTGCCTGACCTGGCTCAGTCAGGGGAGGCTCCCTGCTGATCCAGCAGTATGGGCCCAAATCTGAGCCAGGGGCACAAACTTCCAGGGCATTTGCAGTGACACTTCTAATGTGCAGTATTCAGCCACAGGAAGACCACCAGAGGAGAAAAAAAAAAGAACCATAAGAGACACATAAGAAAATCCAACAACTTCTATGTTCTATGATGACTTGGGAAGAAGATTAGAGCAAGAGAAGTTCAGAGCTTGAGAGCAAGTCGGCTTCCTCTTAAAGATGACGTCAGCTGTTAGCAAAGGACACCTGTGCTGGCACACTTCTGCTGTCCACAAGATCCTCCTACCTACAGTTAGGTGCAGATGTATAGGAGGCTATTGGTGCCCTCCTGCATGGATGAAAGTGCCATAATTGCTTCTGCAGACCCATCATGGATATCAGTGTGCTTTATCCTCTTTGTCCAAGACTAGAAAGGTGCTAATATCACCATAAACTGCTAAGCAAATCAGCAATCTGATTGTGACCGCAACTCCGAGTTTCTAAGAAAATGTACATCCTCCCAGATTTTCTCAAAAAAAAACAAACAATATCGGTCATTCTAAAAGGCAATATAATTGTGTGATCATTCCTTTTAAACCTCTTACTGGAAAATAATTTTGCAATGTAGAACTGATGTATTATGTCTCAGCAAGGTCAGGCACATGGTGTCTGTGGCAATTAATGCTGGATATTCATTGTTTAACTCCCCAAGGAGGCCGGTGTGACTCCTGTAACATGAATACCAATGTGTAATTGCTATCTCTCATTTCTCCAAAGCAGTCCTTTTGTTACCCACAGGGCAGCTGAAGTGAACTTAAGCGGCTGGAGAGAGGGGCATATATGGACCAAAGAAGAGGGGGAGGGGAGACAGGAGTTAAGCCGGGATGAGACACATTGAATAAGACAGATAATTCTATCATTTGAGAGAACAGATGTGAAAAAGACAAGAATCTTTCCCCCGGCTGGCTTCCTCTAATCGTCAGCCAATATTCATTTTCTATGAGCCCCTGTCATCCCGAAGTCCGTTTTACATCCTATGCGCTCATGATATATGGCATTATTAACTTTTGCAGGCTGCATGCATACATATGGATGGGCAGGGTTTTCTCTAATGTCTGCGTAAGTGATATGTATTACACGGCTGTGCGCACTGCAGCCATCCAATCTTTACTAGGCAGGGCGGATAGCCTGAATCAAGACTGATGTGCTATCAATAACATCTTATGTCATTGTAATAGGTTCCATTTTGAAACCTGTTAAAAATAAAGAAGAGAAAAGGCAGAGAAATCAATGAGTTGGGGTGGGGGTGGGGGCTGTGAAGATGCAAGAGCCCTGGGTATTACAACCATCTATGAAGGAGGGCTGGATTCATGCTTCCGAGTGTGGGCACCTTCCCCTTATGCCTCTCCCCCACAGAGAGGAAAAAGAGCAACACTGAGGTTGTGGGCATGAAATTTTTTATTTCATTGCTTACTATGGTAAAAACAAGTATTAGGACTAGTGATGGGAAAATATGTTCAATGACAGATTGACCGTGAAATAGAAGCATTAAGACTCCTAATTGACAGTCAGACATTTATGTAACAAATAGTGAGGTCCTTTTGGGTGTAAGGACACCCTGCCGGACACCTAAATGGCAAGTAGAGATGAGTATGGATGCTGCTGGGACCCTTTAATACTGTTCCTCATGTTGTGGTCACCCCCAACCATAAAATTACTTTCACTGATAATTTATCACTGTGATTTTGCTACTGTTATGATGAATCATAAGGCAAATCTCTGTGTTTTCCGTGGTCTTAGTCAACCCTTGTGAAAGGGTCATGGGGGGAGGGGTCCTCAACCCACAGGTGTTGCTAAGTTTGGGAAACACAGGGTTTGGCGGTCAAAGATAACTAAGTGGCCGGAGAGACTGAGAAAGCTGTTAAATGGGACAGGATCCACAAGAGCAATGATGACTTAGATCAAACAGCTGATGTTTTAGCACTGACAGGACACTTACCAGGCAGTTGGGAGGAAAACAGTTTACTGCGCAAAGGCCGAGGATAGAGTCAAATTTGTTAAGAGGTCCAATTTTGTCAGTTGATAACATTAAGGGGGAATGGAAAAATGGCCAGACCATGAAACGTGATTTAATGAGAAAAACAACAACAACAACAAAAAACAGAGTAAGAGATGAAGAGGGACAGGAACAGCCTCTGGGAAAGTACTCAGAGATGATGAGGAACAGAGCCCAGAGGAGCCAGAGCGGGAAGCAGGGGAGCAGTGTCAGGAGGTCCCAGGAAGACCCTATCTCCTCCCCAGTTCAAGCTGGCAAG